CACAGCACCAAATATGCATATGTATATGTATGCCACTACTAAAGCATGTGATGATGCATAAACAATGATAATATGGTGCATGGCATAAAACAAATAACCCTTTTCAAATAATTTCTGGGAAAATAAATGTATATAGGTATATACGGAAAACCAAAAGCCCACTCACTGGTAAGTGGAAGGGTCGTAGCCCCCCTGCCTCGAGTGACCACGCTCGTCCTCGGGATACGTATCACCTATATGTGAAACAACTACAAAAACGTTAATTTTAAAGCACATAACCAACTTCTCGTAATAACTTCTCATACATTGCTCAAATTGGACAAATGAATATACCAACGTGCTCTACACAACCTCAGGATCACACCCATATTTTTAGAAAAAATTTTCACCGCCGCACGCGCCGACCACGCGCAGGCACGTGCCTGGCACGCTGACGGCACCAACTGACGCCGTAGGGAATATTCCGTTAGTTCTAACGGATTCCGTCAACGGCGTCAGGAATATTCCGTCAGATTTGACGGAATATTCCGTCTCCTTCCCCGGCGAACCTCCGGTGCCGTCACCGGCGCCGGAAAATCGCGAAACCTGTAAACCTTGATTTCTCTCTCGTTTTTCAACCAATTTTCGTGATTTTTGCACCAAAACGAAGCTTAAGACTAGGAGAACATGACCATACAACTTTTAAGGGCTAAAAACTACGAAATCTTACCTGTCACCAAAATCCAAATCCGGCCAACTTCGAACAGGGCGATTCCGACATCCACTCTCTTCAAACGAACTACTCCGAGACTCCTTGGGACCTCACCAAGCTACCTACGAGCTTCATTTTCCTTAAAACGTGAGATATTACGTTTGCATGAATAGTACCCCAAAACTGACTTCGTGAAATCGACGTGAAAACGGTGATAACCTTACCTGAAAATGGTACGACTGGACTCCTCTCAGCCTCACGAGCTCGACTGTGACCTTGGTTACCTCGATCTGTAAAGGTTTGGTGTAGTTGTGTGTGTGTCCGTACGTTTCCAAAGAGAAAGAGAAGGAATGGAGCTCGGGAGAGAGACAGGGAAAAAGACAGAGGGTGAGGGAGAGTGACAGTGTGAGTGTGTGGCCCAGCACATGCCAACACCACACAAAACGACCAATAAACGTAAAAGAACTAACTAGGGGCAAAGTAGTCATTTCACACGTGAGTTTTCGATAATTTCGGGACGGGATGTCACAATATGTTTTTCTTAAAAATATTAATGGTGTTTGTATAAATAAAACCAATGCCTACCATAGAGGAACCTATTTAAGTAGGATTATATCAACTGAAAATATAACTTTAGCCCCTAAAACTTTATTTTCTCTACCTAAAACCCGACATAAGTTTTTTTCTTGAATAAAACCCATTAACTAGATTCCACATCAGCAAATTCATTAATTATGTTTGACTTCACACATTAAAAAATTTCAGATGCCTAAAATACCCATATTTGAATTTTTTTTTTATTTTTCTAAACCCTATTTGAATGTTTGATGTACATAATTAATGTCATGTGGATAGATGGTAAGAGAGAATTAATGATTTTACAAAAAAAAAAAATGTTACAAATTCATTGCCTAATATATAATAACATAAAACATGTCTAATATATGTTATTATACAAGCTTTATTGCTTAATTAATTCAATAAAATTATATTTTACAGATTAATGTAGGTAAATTATTTCACACACACACACAGATATATATATATATATATATATATATATATATATATATATATATATAAATGCTTGATATACGCAAAATTCATGCAAAATAATTTACCTGCAAAAAAAAAAAAACATTTGATTCAAATAGTGCACCTACTATTAAAATTTTAAAATATTAGATTGCTTAAAAAAGAAAAATAATATACCCAGTATATGTAAAATACATGAAAAATAATTTACCTACATAATAACAAACCCATACATGCAAAATACATAAAAACTAATTTACCTTATAAATTCATTGTTTAATTTTTAAAAGAAACAATGTTTCTACTAGTTTTTTCTTCTTCTTTTTTGTCCAAAAATAAAGTACCTATTATTTAATTTTTACGAAAATTGTGTACCTATTGTGTAATTTTTTTAAAAAAAATTACACATTGTTTATTTTTTTTTATCAAAATAATGTAACTATTGTTTAGTTTTTACAAGAAACAATGTATCTACAAGTTTATTTTTACCTTTATTTTTATTTTTTTATTTTCACAAGTTAATGTATCTACTTTTTCAATAGAATGTATATTGAACTAATTAGATATGGATTAGGCGATTTCACATAAAAGAAGAAAAGAACTTCTTCTTTTTTTTTGTTTTTTAAATTAAAAGCAAAAAAAACTTGAATTAATTGAATGTTGTTGACAAACAAAAGACAATAAATTAAAAGTCTACAAAAAAACCGTAATAGCCATATTAATGTTCGTGACATGGTGTTGTAAATAAATTTAAATGTATGGACATCTTTTATCTTACATGACATCAAATTCAAAATTTGGGTTTTATTTAGATGTTTTAATATATGTGGGTTTATGTGTAGAGTTCAACAGTTGTAAGGGGCTAAATCTAAAGCACCCGTTTTTATATGTATCACATGCTATCCGATCAACTTCCGGAGAGAAGGGTGTTTTCATATTTTAAGATACATGCCAACTGTAAGAATTATGAAATCAAAGGATGACAGAATGCCACTTGTCAGAAGATCAATGGAGTTATTAGACAAGATGGTTATGAGCTGTTCTGAGTTAGTTAAGATGAGAATCTTCCATAGGATCTTTACCCTTTAAGATTAACTTACTGAGTTCGGGTAGTCCCCGCAGCGTTATATCTACCAATATAAGTAGTACATTTCTTGCGATTCTATAAACTCTTCTCTCTGTGCTTTCACTCTCTTTCTGTAGTTTTTGAATTCTCACACCAACATCTTCTCTTCTTTCACACAATTATGCACAGCAATTTACTAATCAAAAACATCTATTCTTTAGGTCATTCTTAAGGTTGAGGGTGAGGTTCATTCTTGTGAAAATTAATGGAACCCTAGTGAATTGATGAGATCATCTACATTGTGCTAACGACAAATGTAGCCCGCCAAACAAAAATAAATCATGTCAATCTCAAGTATCATTTTGGTTAAAATGCATATTATTAATAATTTTAGAGATTTTTTTTATAATCTTAGTGAGTTGGGAGTTATTTGTTGACCGAACAATTGTTTTTGTATTGCTATAAATAGATCTTTGTGTTTCTGGTTATGATTTTAATTTTTTTTTTTTCCGTTTGTATAAAAAATTGTGAGGTGCCCTCTTTAATTTTCCACGACAACATTGCGGTCTACATTACTAGAAATTTTAGCAATGGCCATGGATTTTGCCGTGGCTATTGATGCCAGTTGTCACGGACGGCCATTGAGGGTAGGCCACGGATTGGCCATATGCTTGCTGAAGCAGAATAGAACATGAGATCCTGAACATAGTACTTTGGCAGGTTTTGGACATTTTTCTTTTCTTCAAATGCTGGCATATGCTTATAATTAACCAGGTGGTGTGCTCATATGTATTTTAACATTTTATTTTATAATCCGATGCTAGAATTGATGGTTAATTACACATTATATCATAGGTTATTAAGAATAATGCTGGAAGAGATCGTAAGTTCCAATTTTATAAACAACAGTTGATGAATACATAATACAACTACATTGTAAATACTTGCATAGTTGTCAAACGAAACCTTTAAAATTGGTCTAGGCCATGTGTGAAAGGAGATCCTTAGTTCAAATCTCATGAGCGATAATTGTTGTATAAAATAAAAGGTCTCCTGCGTACAAGAAAAAAAAACTGCTTAAAAGAAGTAAAAAAGAACTAAATAGGAGGAGGACAAGCTCTAAAAAAGAACTAAATAGGAGGAGGACAAGCTCTCATCGTGTTTCACATTAATGATTAAGAATTATATACATACACACAAGTTGCAGCTGGTAGTTTAAGAATAAGAAAATGACTAACGAATCAAGAGATCCGTAAATTAAGGAGAATTAGTGTGCTGATCTTAGTTAGTGAGATTATGCAAGCATATGAGGATCTGTTTTTTCCCTCAAGAGCAAGTTACACCAGGAGGGATGATATGCTAGTGAGTTAAATACTGAGATTTTCTGCCTTCTGGGTTTGTTCCGAAGGCCAAGTGCATTTACGTCCATGATATAGAACGGTATTGCAATCTTTCATTTTCGAGTACTTTTCATGCTGTTGATTCACCATACATATGTTTGGTTTTTGAATAGTATAATTTACTTTCCAACTTGATGATAGCTTCATCGACAGCCAATTCCTATGCTGCTCTGTTTAAATTGGTGAAGAGGAAGGCTCTTAGCCATGTAATCACGTTTTGAAGTTCAAATGTCAATCAGTTCATTTTTGTATCTATGTATTTTGTTTGGACTACAACTTACACTTGCTGAGTGATGCTGTGCTAGACCGTGACATGTCTTGGGTTGTCTAGGCCACGGCTTGCCTTGGCTTTTCTGTGTCTTGTTAAGTCATGCCATGACATGCCTTGCTAAGCCGTGTCAGTGGCATGTTTATTCCTTACGTTTGGTTGATGATTGATCTCTCTCGAGCTCTTTGATTGAATGGAGAGATTTGTCGGTGGTCAGTTTCTTTTTACTTGTTGATTCTAGTGGAAGTAAAGGTACAAGTAAACTCATGAGAAGCGCTATACCTTTGAAGTTCTAGCTGCATTTGAGTAGAAACAGAACTTGGCTGACTACATTAAAACATGCTACCACAATTTTTGAACAACACGGAGAATTGCAATTGCATGTTTTTGCTTCGCCTTATTTATTTCATGCACTGCAGATTTGTCCCCTTAATTAATTCAGTGCCATTCTATACTACGTACCATATTTCTGCGTGAAACAATTAAGTTAAGATAGAGCTCCTTTTCTGCTTTAAAACCTTTGCCACTGTGATTCTGCAGATTTTCTCTACCAACGAGAAAACATGGGGGAGGGTTTCTGGACCTTATTCTGCACTAGTTCAGACTGTTCAACCGAATCTGGAAATGAATGCAGTTCTGGAATTTTATCAATTATCAATCCAGATTCATGTATCAACAATATTTTGATCATTTCGGTTGATATCTTGCTCCTACTCATCTTGTTATGCTTCTTCGTGTATAGAATATCATCAAAGAAGATTATAGCACCACCAGAGTCTCAGTACACCTTCTCTGCAGTGTCAATTGCATCAGTGAGCTTAAATGCTGGTTTGGCTTTGGCCTACTTGGGGTTTGGAATTTGGATAATCATCGACAAAGTAATTGCAGAGCAGACTGTCTTACCTCTCCATAGATGGCTTGTCTTGATTTTCCAAGGGTTCACGTGGTTGGTTCTCGGTTTAACCATAAGCCTAAAGAAGCTGCACCCCCCATATATTGCAATAACAGTTTCAGTTCTTGCCTTCTTGCTTGCAGTTTTCCTTTGCAGTTCATCAATTTGGGAAGCTGTTACTGATGAGGCAGTATCGGTTAAGGTTGTTTTAAACATTTTATATTTCCCTGGATCAATCCTTTTGATATTTAGTTCCTTTCAGGGAAGCAATTTCTTTGCAAAAGGTGATCCAGAAATGCATGATGGTGCTTTCTACACACCTTTGCAAGGGGGCGGAATCTGGTATCAAGGGTGATGGTAACTTGAAATTTGGTGCAAGGTAGCAAGCACACAACCTTGGCTAACTGACCACACACATCTACAAACCCATCACCAATGTCAAGCAATGCAACAAAAACAAGGTTACTTGATATGCTAACAAAACTACTTAAACAAGAAATTCCAAGTACAACTGAATTTAAGAACTCAATCCCTCTTATTGGTAGGACAAGAATAAAATGGGAATCAATCAACAATGCTTATTCAAACAGACAATTCATATGCTGAAATAAGGATGCCATCATTATCTGCATACAACCATTCCCCTTCACGGATCAAGGTTCCCGCAATGTTGATCAGAACATGCTTTTCTCCGACGCCTTTTTTGTTCGATTTCACTGGATGAGATGCCAAAGCCCTCACCCCAATGTCACACTCATTGATCTCGTCTACATCTCTAATGCAGCCATTCACCACAATACCTGTCCATCCCATGTTTTGAGCCAACTGTCCCAAGTTCCCTCCAACCAAAGAACATCTCATGCTTCCTCCGCCGTCAATAACCAGAACTCTTCCCTCGCCTTTGGTCTCGAGAAGCTGTCTGACCAAGACACTGTCCTCAAACACCTTAAGTGTGGTAATGGGGCCTGAGAATGCTCGAGATTGTCCGTATGTCTGGAAAATTGGTGGCAGCACACGCAAACATCCACTTTCCAAAAGAGTGGTATTCGAATCACAAATTTCAGCAGTTGCCAAGGTAGCCATATTTTTGCCTGCAGATACATACAATCGGCATATCGTTATTAAAATGTGGTAATGCAAATAAAAACTGCCTAAGAATAAGCTCAAGCAAAACAAACAATAATTTCTCGTCGCACTTAGAGATTCCTAGAATTCTAGTATACTCGAGAAAATAGAGGGATCAAAAGAATCTTAGGCCTTGTTTAGCAGGTTGGACTGTACTGACTATTTAAGTCGGATAAGATAATAATCATCAGATAATACTGACTAAATTAGTCGGACGTTTGGTGTAACATCGGACTAATAGTCGTATTATTTATACTCTGTTTGTTATTATCTAGAAACCGAAAGACTTTCAAATCCTATCTTCAAAACAAGAAGCAAATAAAAAAATCCCCCATAATTGAGCAAAACCTAATTTCAACTATGTTTGATTGTGTGTTGGATTAACAGAACTTTAGATTATAATTATTATTTTTTAATAAATTTTAAATAATGATTAATGGTAAAATGAAGAAAAAAGGTAACTACACATAAGAAAAATTAAAAATAAAAAAACAGCATGGCGTAGCATCGCCACCATTGTGCTTCTCACCACCAACTACAACCCATGATCTCCATGGCTTCTAATCCCTTGAAACCGAAAAATAAGATGAAATATCTCCTAATTTATTGAAATTTCCAGATGGGGGGAGAGAGATTATGGTTCGAGAGGATTTCCTAGGAGTTAGACAACTTTGAGAATTTCTAAATTTGCTGAAATTTCCAGATCGAGAGGAGAGAGACAGAGAGATTATGGTTTGAAGCTTTGAGAACCTAGAAAGAGGTTGTTGGGTTGGAGAAGAAGATGAGGAACCAGACGGCAGTGTGTTTCTGATCGAAAGAGGGAAGAGAGAATGCACAGCGTGTTTTTGATTCAGTGTCCGGACTAATTATCCTTCGCCTTTCGAGATTATTAGTAAGGTGCTGACCGTATAAAAGAGGCCAACTATTTTATACTGAAGTGCACCAAACACTCGAATCCGTATAATTAATCATATCCGATTCATTATACAAGCTGCCAAATGAGGCCTTAGTGTTTAGACGAGTACGGCGCCAGCATTGTGTATACTGCAGAGTACTGATTTATATAAAAGCAAGCTCGGTAAATTCATCGACCATATTTGCATTCGATATAACCAATTAAGTGAAAAAGTATACTAGGACACAGTTTGCTAGGATCCAATTTGTCGCACAATCTGAAAAATAGTGTATCTTGGAGCAGTTTAAGAGCTCTTGAGCACGCTTCCTTGGTTCCTACAAGCCGGATTTTTGAGGCAAGTTCCAGTCAACAACACCGAGATTCAAGAGAGACAGAGTGACAATCACAAACACCCCCCCTCCTTCAAAAAATTTACTTTCCAAAGTATGTATCAAGGTTAGCAGCACGAACTAAACTAATGGAAAACGAAATCCCACATCTTCAGATGGAAATCTAGAGAAACCTAATGAGGACAAGCTTAAATCTTCCTAAATGCCCCAAAAGTTGAATGAGCAGCAGGAGATTAAACAGTCCTTTAGTTAGCAAAAGGAAAGAGGAGCGGACAGAGGGATGAATAATTTGATTAAGTGAATTACTAGAGGCATAAACTCACAAAGTTTTACTTACGGACAAAAAAACCAATAAAACATGAGGAATTCAAATAAAATAGAACAAAAAAGCCATGCATCTAACATCTTTGATCCATTAGCACTCATCTAATTGTATAATGGATTGATCAGTGACATCTGACAAGATGCTAAAGGGTAGTTTCCCCCAGTACCAAGTTTCCCGTCTGCACTCCTCTCCTCGTTTTGGTCCATTGATTCTAGGGAGGATAGCAGATGAGAAAATGAGAATGCAAAAATCATTTTTTAAAATACCAAATTCCGACGTAAACTTATTTATACCTGGAATGCCACGCAAACTTATCGAGAACAGTGACAGTATTTCAAGCCAATAACATGCCGTAGCATCTAACGCAGACAAATTTACATAAGGAAAGCTGAAAACAGGGAATTGAAGCTTACCCAGAAGAGAACGAGATGACAGTGTTTACTCTTCTTCTTGTTCTTCTTCTATGTTTGCTCAGTCGGTCAAGTCTTTCATTCTTTTTACATAAAATAGTTAAAAGATGGTCAAAAGCAGCCGATATCAGCCTTGAAGAGTCTCAGTTGTAGTTACCAATTTGGCAACAGATTATCCTGTAGGGTTCTGTGCCCCCTGAAATTTCCTTGAAGTTGCAGTACCCGCCAATGTTAGTTTAATAGCCTTTCCCTCCCTCTATGAATATCCTTGGGCTAGTCCAAGTTAAGGAAGGGTTGGGCTACTAATTTCCTGAGGTTTCATGGGTCATGTTGTGGACTAGTCACTAACCCTACGCTGAACCGGAAAATGTGGCTCAAATGCTACACATAAACTAGGTACATAGGCCGACCCAGCCCTGTAAATGCATCGAGCCAAGTCGACCCGCAACTATAGAGCCGGTTTAAGTCAGTTTATCTATTTTAGAAGGCAACCGGTTAGTTTTGTCACAATAATTTGGGGTCGGTCCGGCCCAATATAGGAGTGACTCAAAAAAAAGTACTCAGTTCGAACGAGACTCGAATTTAAGTAGGGCCGAAAGCAATCGGCTTATGGGACAGACAAAATTGGATTTGAATCTAAATTACTATGAGTTCTCCAAATTATTATATACTAAAGCCCTGAATTTAGACTTCTGGGGCTGTTATGGATTATGTTCGAGTTGAATTTAGTATTCTGGGTTATTGAATTTGAATAACTGTTGGGGGTCATTGAAATTGGTATTCTGTAATATTTTGAAGTTATAATGGGTTTGATTTCAGGAACTTTGGGCTTATTGAATTTTGTATGCTTTGGTATTGTGGCTATTGGAGGGGGAAGAGTCAGTTTAGTATTCTGGTTATTTTGTCATTTGAGTTTGGATTAGAATTCGATTTTGATTCAATCGAATAGTCTACCTTTTTTTTTTCTTTTCTGGTTCTAAAGTTTCCTTCATGCAAGGCAATCCATCAAAAGTCTTCTTGAGCAGCAGTTAAAAATTTGAATGTGGATTGATTGCTCGAGCAGCGGTTAAAAAAAAAAAAAAAAAAAAAAAAACTAACGAAAAGTCTTCAAAAACTTTAGTTTTAATCAAAATAACAAAATAAAAGTGTAAGTGAATAGTATCATGAGTGACTTTTTAGGCTAAAAATGTTTTTAACGTTAAAAGTGAACAGTACCATGAGTGTCTCACTACGACTCCCTTAAAAAAATTGAAGGTAGAATCGAATAACAAATAGGAAACTTTAGAATGGTGGATGACGAAGTTGGAATAGCATCGAATTGATGTTTTTGGTTTTTAAAGAGTGGTGGGCGAAGTAGCGGGAGTGAAGTGCTAATCCTGCTTCAAACATGATTGCAATATAATTAGACCATTTTCAATTAATTGCAGATAGATTTGTGCCTTGACTTATGTATTGTAGGATGATATTTTGTTTTTTTTTTAACCTTTTGAGCATATTCTTAGATCAGTGGCGATGACAATGTAGAATCCTAAGCTCTTTGTGATGGGAATCAACGGTTCCAATGCAACATTCAGGCTATTTAATAAATCAGCGGTTCAAATGCAGCATTCAAGCCAATGGTGGTGACATGTGCTTTAGACAATTCTCTAAATCAGGTTCAACTTTATCTCAAATATGCATAAAGTTATTGTTGATACTTAAAGAAAATTTTGAGTTTAGCTTTGATAAAAGTAACTTTACACTGACATATTGTGTTGCGCCACCTCCTTTTCTACTTATGCTACAAGGAATCGTACTCAATTTTGAGTCTCTCATTTTAGCCACATCACCACCAACTACTATTGCACCTTAGATACTTAGCCACATCACCACCAACTACTATTGCACCTTAGATACCAATTAAACAACCATCACTCACAAATTTGCATGAAAAACTCATCATGTAAACTGTATATAGCTAAATATGTAGAAATCCACATTTTTGTTGTACATAGGCTCTTAATGTAAATTCAATAGAATATAGATGCAAATTTAAAGACTTATTCTACCATGTGGATTCATCTACTTTGGTTGTTTTTTGAATTATTTAGAAATTGATGTGTTAAATTGTGGTTAAGGTTTCAAAACCCACAGCGGAGCACGGACATTTTTGCTAGTAAGGGCTAAAATATCACTCACATTTAACTAAAATAGTTTAGTCCACACCCAACCACCAATTAAGCCTTGATTCACACTCTTTTTTTTTTTTTTTTTTTTTTTTTGAACAGACAATATTATCCATACTAATGCGGTGGGAGAGTAGGCTAGCCTCACAATGGGCTAACAATAATGTGGTTCAAATTCGTTTTTGACGAGAATTGAACCTCAGACCTCTCACTTACAAATGAAAAGGATTATCATTAGACTGTAGTACTAAGTGGCAATTTTGACACTCAAAATTATGATACCCTGAAAGACAAATGCAAAAGAGTGGAAGTTGAAAAAACAAACGATAACTTCCCTTTCCTGATTTTGTGAAGCATTTACATGTAGGCGACTAAATGTAGCACAACTCTTTATTGTACCATTTAAACATCAGTTCCAGCCGCGTTTGCTTCTCACGGGCAGGGAGCAGCTGCAAAGTTTATATCTGCAGCAGCTTTTGTTGCTAAGAAATAGTAGCAGCTGACCCTTTCTGGTTAATACATTTTGTTCCATTTTTTTTTCCCCTTCTTATTACAAGTAAGAAAGCAAGGTATTAGCGATCAGGTTTTGTCTGAGGTTGTGTTCGGATTTTTCCTTACTCAATATTGTTAGTTTTTAAGAAAAATACTAACAAGTAAGAACTTGTACAAGATTGTTTTTGTAAAAAACATTTCTACTCATAAGCATTTCTGCTAAAATACACTTCTACTTAGAAGTACTTTTTAAAGAAGTACATAGCAAACGCTTATTAAGAAAGAATTTCTATGACACAATCACAAACAACTCCTAATTGACCTTACCAAAAACAAAGTAATAGAAATTTTAAGACACATGCATGTTTCTCTTTCTCGAATATTCAACCGTTCATGAAGAAAAGAGAACAGTTGTGTATATCAATATCATGAACTGATATGGCATATGACTATGTCGTCACACGAGCTTGGTTCTTACCTATTGCTTTCACTTATTAATTTGGTCGGCCCAAAATGTCAAAGCAAATAGGTTATTAGGGGAAGAAAAGAAAATTTGAAGACAACTAATGGTATGGTAGGTCTGAAGAAAAATATTTAAGAAATAAACGTGGTACCCACGATTTATAACTTTTGAAGAAAATTAACCTTCCCAACCCATGATTATATTTCATGATTTACAGGTAAGAAATATGGATCCCTTTAATCTTCCATAATCCATATCACGTAAAAGTCTTTAGCTAGATATACTCTATTTGATTTGATCTAGTCGAGGCCAAAATGGCGACATGAGTTACTCAATGCCCTCACATAGCTCGAAAGTTACAATTTTATCCATTGATATTTTAGTTGGTTAGAAACATGTAACATGTTAATTCATAAGGAAAACGAATTGGGTGGTGCTACATACATCAAATTCATGCATTAAATAATATGACACATTCTATACCATATAAATTTTTGGAATTAGTTACAATACATACATGTATTTAATACAATCATCATCTGATGATTAGATATAATTCATGTGAATATATGTATTTAGTACTATCACCATATGATTGTTGAGATGGTGATTGTATTAACTGCATGTAAGTATTATAGCCAAATCTTAACCTTTTTATTATAATTTATTAATAAAATTTCAACTTGAGTTAAAGCACAAATTTGATTGGTGCCATATAATTTAATGTACAAATTTGGTGACATTATTCTAACAATTTTTAAAGATTTTAATAGAGCCAAGCATGTTCACGCAAGGATGAAGGATGAGTAAAAACTATTAAAGGGAGATGTTAGTAGTCTTTCACTCGTGCATATTTATTTTATTTTCTCTAACTCTCTGTTTTACGCAAGTGACCCTCTATTATAGCGGTGAAGAAGAGTATTACCCTTGCATTACGGTATATGTATAAGCATTTTTATATTTAGTTATTTTTCTTGAAATGATCTTTAAAGGCTAAGTAAACAATTCACTATTCAGGTATCAATATCATTGTGCAACACTCGCATGATGAAAAGCTAATAAAATTAAATATATAAAAAAATCTAAATGAGTGAGTTGCTGACGTACATTGCCATTAACATAAACCTTGCAAGGATTGCATTCATCCATTAACGACTATAAACGTAACCCTACCAAAGATAGTATCCATCAATTAACGAATATTAACGCACGTAAGCCCTACAAAGTTAACATCCATCAATGACTATTAACATAGACCATTAGAGTGTGTCAGGAATATGATTTGGTATACAAAGTGTTATTATAAAAGTGGTTGAAATTTCTTTTTCAAGTATCAACCGCTTGTATAATGACATTTGATGTATCAAACCGTATTTCTGGCATACTAAAAAAATCTCACGATCAGTAAAGCTCTAGTTTCATTTACTTTTTAGAGAAATCAAAGTCATGGTTTTGATTATTTATATTTAATTCTTACTATTGTTCTTATTTGCTCACTTGACTCACATCCACAAAGCTAAAATCGCTTGATCTCCTCATCATCAAAGTGATCGACGTTGGTCCAACATTAGAAAAAGTACGAGCAGACAAAGCTTTTTTTTCTTAGTATTAGAGACAAAAATCTCATAATTAATATCAACATCTTTCATAATCTTTTGAAAAGAAAAGCGAAAATACTATTCGTGTCAATCAAACTTTTTTCCATCTCTTGTAAACAGTATCACCCAAGTAATGATTATATAGCTAAGGACGGGTGTATTTCACGAGCTAAAGCGCTTTTGTTAATATTTCATATTTGCTTCAGGTTCTCATCAATTTGTCACATGCAGTTAAAGAGCATTAATTTATCGTATTCAAATACGTTCATTATATTTTGTGAGTAAAACAATAAGTTTGTAACTTGAGTGATATATATGACGTCTTATGTTAGTTTTATGGGCTTTAATATCACTTGTATAGAAAAAGAAAAATCCGAAACAACAAAATAGGATAACGTCAATAGAACTTTCGTGCTGGTGTGGAAAAAGCAATTGAGACATCTA